GGGTTTACCGCTACTTCGCCTACGACTGCGCGGGCTCCTTCCCGGGCGTGTCACGTGGGCCCCTGCGCCACGTGGACGACGTCATCTGCGAGTCCCGCTACTCGGACATTGAGCCGTCCACAGAGGGCGAGGTGAGCAGCCCTGCGCGGCTCCCTCCCGCCAGGCCCAGCCGCCGCGGTGGCTCGGAGGCAGGCAGGGCCCCATGGGCTGAGGGCTGTGCTCTCGTGCTCCAGGTGATCTACAGGGTGCTGGACCCGGCCCTGCCCATCCGGGACCCCTACAGCCCCGACATCCAGAGTGAGTAGAGCCAGCGGGGTGGGGGCTGGGCTGGCACGCATGGGGTCTGTGCAGCCCGGGAGACGCCCAGGTCAGCGCCTGGCTGTGCTGGCGCGGGGATCCCTGCCCGCCCGTCTCCCAGCGCTGCTGGACCCTATTTTGGGCTGAGTTATTCTGGCTACTGCTGCTTTTAGCCCCGGGCTGCAGGGAGGGAGCATGCCGCCCCCACACTCTGTGTCCTGTCCTGCCCTGCAGAATGTGCCTGGCCCCCGGGAGCGGCGGGGAGGCGCAGGCTGGGGCTGGAGGCTGTGGGAAGGGCCAGGCAGCCCTCGCCAGGGGTCCCGCCAGCACAAGCAAAGAGACCGAGGGGCAGCACTTGGGCCAGCTGGGACTAGGCATCGTGGGCTGGCAGCCAGGGTGGGCACCCAGGGCTGGGGTGCAGCAGGTGGGGCAGCACCTGTGAGTGCTGCAAAGCTGGGGGCCTGCCCTGCCCCTGCCCGTGGGGGCTGGCAGTAGCCTCCTGCCACCCACAGACCTGGTGCGTGTGACCAACCTGCGGGTGAACCTGACCAAGCTGCACACGCTGGGCGACGACCTGCTGGACTCGCGGCGGGAGATCAAGGAGAAGTACTACTACGCTGTGTACGAGATGGTGCTGCGCGGCAACTGCTTCTGCTACGGCCACGCGGCCCAGTGCGCCCCACTCCCCGGCAGCCCCGACCGCGAGGGCATGGTACGGCCGCCCGCCCCGGGCAGAGCTGGCTCCTGTCACTGGCATGGGGCAGCTCATGCCCTGGCGCCCAAGTAGGGTGGGCCTGGGGGTCTCGGCCCTGCTCCCCATGGCTAGGGCAGGCCAAAAGGTCCCTGGTCTTGTCCTTGGGGTCCTTCCACCTCCCCACACCGGGCCAGGGCCCCCTGGGCCCTGTTGCTGAACAGGGCTCAGGCTGTGGGGGTCTCATGGTTGCCCTCCCGGCAGGTGCACGGCCGCTGCGTCTGCCAGCACAACACACACGGCCTGAACTGCGAGACCTGCGCCGACTTTTACCATGACCTGCCCTGGCGCCCGGCCGAGGGGCACAGCACCAACGCCTGCCGCAGTGAGTGCCCGCAGGGACCTGTGCCCGTGTGCTGCCAGGAGGGGTCTGGCTGGGCCAGGGGGAGCAGGCAACAGCTGGGGATGCCAGGCCATGGTGCTGTGGGGGTGAAGCCGGTGCTGGCGTCTCTGCAGGGTGTGAGTGCAACGGGCACGCAAGCC